ATAAATTTGTTATAAACAATATATGGCTCAAATGCTAACAAACATTTATATAATCCAAATAGTTCTTTTCTATTTATCTCCCATTTTATTTGTTGTTCCGCGTATGATCCTGAATAATATCTACAATGGTGTTCAATTTTTTCATTATCAATTGGGGTCAGCAAAATCAACAATATAGGCCATCTCAGCAGCTGTACAACAACAACAATAACCTTGGGGCTATGCGACCACGAGGTCAAGTGGTGCCTTACCAAAGGCAATAGGTTATAACCTGCAAAATCAGCAGTAAGCTTGTCAACAACCATAACGACTACATAATGTGAGACATGAAGATGGCTTTGCTAAACTTGAGGGAATGATGCACCAAGTGATTGGGTCCACTGGAAAACTAAGTGATAAAGTAGACTCACATGAATTAGTGATAAAGAATATTGAGATCCAATTAGGCAAGATTTCGATGGCTTTAAATAATCATCCCTATGGGACGTTACCTGCTGACACACAAATAAATCCAAAAGAGCAGGGCCCAAAGCAGCTTATGGTAGTGAGTCTCCTAAATGATAGAGACCTAGATCTGGAGCAAGAAATTGATCGCAAAAGCATACCTACTGAGACACTGGTGCCAGTACCCATTAAGATAGATGATTCAGCAGGTTTAACTAAGGTGACGGTACAACATGCGCAAGAGAATGCTAACAAAGAAAAAGAAGTTGTGAAAGAGACCGAGGTTGCACCAGAACCGATAGTAGAACCAGTGCCTGAACAAGAAAAAAATCAAATCACAGGGAAGAAGCAACCTCGATCACCATTCCTACAGAGATTGGCCAAGTATAAAAAAGATGAGCAGTACAAGAAATTCTTGGAGATATTGAAGCAAATTCAGGTAAACATTCCATTGATTGATATGTCCCGTAAGTTCCATTTTCAAGACTTGATGTACTGTCAGTTCCACTTTAAAGACTTGGCCATAGATACACTAACTAAGACCTGCAATGCTATTGTGATGAGACCCATAGATGAAAAGCTATCTGACCAAGGAAGTTTCACAATCCCTTGCACAAGAGGCAACTATGCATTTTCTAAGGCACTGTAAGATTTGGGGGAAATCATAAACCTTATACCCCTAGCTATCTACAAAATCCTAGGCATTTGTCGAGCAAGACCCACGTCCATGTTACTACAGCTGGCCGACCAAATAGTGAAGAGTCCCTCTGGTATTCTTGATGATGTATTAGTACAGGTTGGGAAGTTTGTGTTCCCTGTAGATTTTGTCATTCTTGACTGTCGGGTTGACGAGGAAATTCCCATAATTTTGGATAGACCATTCTTGGACACTGGGAGAGTTTTAATTGATTGTGAAATTGGAGAGCTCAAAATGAGATTAAATAACGAAGAGATAACATTCAACGTGCAGAAATCTATGCGACAACCAAGTGAATTTGGAAATTGCTCTCTAATAGATGTCGTGGATGTAGTTTTGGAGGAGGAAGATGAGGCATTGAATAATAAGACCCTCTAGCAGCCTGTCTCATGAACTTAGATGAAGCCAATGGAGAAAATTTAGCAGAGTGGGTACTTGCTCTTGAAGGTCAAGGTTTTTGGAGAAGGGAGATCGAATTTGAGCCTTTGCACTTAGAGGAAAGAAAAACTCCTCCAGCTAAGCCATCGATAGAAGAGCCACCAAAATTGGAATTGAAGCCACTGCCATCTTATTTCAAGTGTGCATTATTAGGACCTAACTCAACTTTACTTGTTCTTATCTCATCTAGTTTGTTAGATGTGTAGGCAGAACAGCTTTTGCAGGTACTAATTAAGTGCAAGATTGCAATTGGATGGACCATTGCTGACATTAAGGGGATCAGCATGGCCTTCTGTATGCATACAATTTTACAAGAAAATGAGCACAAACCTTCCATAGAACATCAAAGAAGGCTGAACCCCAACTTGAATTAATTAGTGAAGAAAGAAGTGATTTAGATGCGGGAATCTTATTCCCCATCTCTGATAGTAACTGGGTTAGCCCAGTTCAGTGTGTGCCAAAAAAAGGAGGTATGATAGTAGTGAAAAATGAGAAGAACGAATTGATCTCTACACGAATAGTCACAAGTTGGCGAATCTGTATGGATTACAGGAAGTTGAACTTGACTACTAGAAAAGACCATTTCCCACTATCATTCATTGATTAGGTGCTAGATAGATTGGCAAGGAGGTCCTACTTTTTCTTTTTGGATGGATACTCGGGGTATAATCAGATCTTTATTGCCCCAGAGGATAGAGAGAAAGCATCGTTCACCTGCCCTTATGGAATCTATGCTTTTCGGAGAATGTCATTTGGCCTATGCAACGCACCTGCCACATTCCAAAGGTGTATGATGGCAATCTTCATGGATATGGTAGAGGAAATAATGGAGGTTTTCGTGGATGATTTCTCAGTGATGGGGAATTCATTCGATGACTACCTTATAAACTTGAGAAGAGTATTAAAGAGGTGTATCAAGACGAATCTGGTACTCAACTAGGAAAAGTGTCATTTCATGATACATGAAGGTATAGTCTCGGGGCACTAGTGTCAAGTAAGGTCATTGAGGTAGATCGAGCAAAGGTTGATGTGATAGAAAAGCTTCCACCACCCACTTCCGTCAAAGAAATCAGAAATTTCCTTGGGTACGCCAGCTTCTGTAGGAGATTTATAAAAGATTTTTCCAAAATTGCTAACACCTTGTGTAAATTGATTGAAAAAGATCACCCTTTTATGTTTTCTTGTTACTGCAGGGTAGCGTTTGAGGAATTGATGAAGAGATTGGTAATAGTAACTATCGTAGTTGCCCCTAACTGGGAGCGACCATTTGGGCTAATGTGTGATGCAAGTGACTATGCTGTGAATGCAGTTCTTGGGCACCGAAAAGATAAAATCATGCATCCAATTTACTACACAAGTAGAACGCTGAGTGGAGCCCAGGTAAATTACATTGTGGCCGAGAATGAGATGTTGGCGGTGGTGTTCGCTTTTGACAAATTTAGGTCATTTTAATCGAGAAGGAGTTAAAATCGTGCCTGATTTGATGGGTGCTACTGCGAAAAGAATGTGATTTGGAAATCCGTGAACGAAAAGGAACAGAGAACCAAGTAGCTAATCATTTGTCTAGGCTGGAAGGAGCTGAAAAGAAGGTTGAGGTAGAAGAGATTCTGGAAACTTTCCTAGATGAACAACTACTAGCCACGAGTCTTGAGGAAGCTCCATGGTATGCAGACATTGCAAACTACCTAGTGAGCGGTATTGTTCCTTATGACCTTTCCTCTGTCCAAAATAAAAAGTTTTTTCATTATTGTCACAGGTATTATTGGGATGGGCCTTATCTGTTCAGGATTTGTAGTGAAAACATGATCCGGAGATGTATCCCCTAGATAGACCGGTCTTCTATTTTGTAGGTATGTCACGCGTCACCATATGGTGGGCACTTCGGGGAAGTAAGGACAATAGCGAAAGTCTTGGAGTTAGGCTTCTACTGGACAACATTATTCAAAGATGCACATTTATGGATAAAGGGTTGTGATGAATGCAACCGAACTGAGAATATTTCCAGTCGACATAAGATGCCTATGAACCCAATACAGGAGGTAGAAGTGTTTGATGTATGGGGGATCGATTTCATGGGGCCTTTCGTTAGCTCATATGGAAACAAGTACATACTCATCGCTGTGGACTACATGTCCAAATGGGTGGAAGCTGTAGCACTCCCTATAAATGATGCAAAGGGGGTAATTGGTTTTTTGATAAAGAACATATTCACTTGATTTGGCACTCCAAGGGCAATAATTAGTGACGGAGGCACTCACTTTTGTAATCGAGCCTTCGCGAAGTTGTTAGAAAAGTATGATGTACGCCACAAGGCGGCCACCCCATATTATCCACAAATATGTGGGAAGTGGAAGTCTCGAACAGAGAAATAAAGAGTGAGTTGACTAAGACTGTGAATGCCACTAGAACGTATTGGGCGAGAAAATTTAATAATGCACTTTGGGCTTATCGAATGACTTTCAAAACTCCAATCGGCATGTCTCCATACACGTTGGTGTTTGGGAAAGCATGTCATTTACCGGTGGAGTTGGAGCATAGAGCTTGGTGGGTGTTGAGACAGTTGAATCTCGATATTGATGTTGCGAGAGCAAGTAGAGTCACGGAGTTGCACGAGCTTGATGAGTTTTTCTATCACGCTTTTGAGAGCACTAGATTATACAAGGAGAAAATGAAGATGATACATGATAAAAATATTATTGAGAGGATTTATAAACCCGAAGATACGGTATTGCTATACAACTCAAGACTGAGGCTATTTTCTGGAAAATTAAAGCCACGATGGTCAGGGCCTTTTCATGTGGTTGAAATTCACCCCACGGGTGCCGTAGAGATTGCTACGGATAATGACTCTCGCACGTTTAGAGTCAATGTCCACAGATTAAAACATTATGTGGGCATGGATGAAGCAAAGGTAGTGTCAGTGACCCATTTGATCGAGCCTCCGATGTTGAATGCACCGTAAATGCCCTTACATATGTCATGCTGCGACGTTAAATCAGACATTTCATGGGAGGAAATCCATTGATTTGTTTTATTCGTCATGCCACGACGTTAACTTAGGTGCTTGTTGGGAGGCAACCCAACTCGTAGTGATTTTTAGTATAGTTAGAATTGTTTCTTTTTGTTTTTAGATACTAACAAGTTTGCAAGTGAGTTTGGGCGAGTCGCGCAAGGTTTAAAATGTCACGTGAAGCCAGGAAAATGCGAGGGTTAGCCAGGCCTTATGTTGGCGTTGCCTGGCTAAAGCGAGGGTCAGCCAGGCCTTAGGCTGGCATCGCCTGGCTAACGCCAGGGTCAGCCATGCCTTAGGATGGCAACGCCTGGCCAACACTAGATAGGTATTATTTTTCCATGTTTAAGTTATTTCTTCTTATTTTGGTCGAAACAAACCTCACAAACATGCCCTCACACACTTAACACTCTATAAATCAAACCCTAACCTCACTTCAACCATCACACACCAAGCTATACTAGAAATCTCACGAGAACACAAACACATTGCACAAATTGCTTGTTCACCCACACACAATCACCATCCACATAGAGGTCAAGCTTCATCTTGCTAGTCTTTCACAGTCATCCAAAATTCTAAGTCAATCTACTCCTCATAAAGCTTTAAAGGAACGAAGATGCCTCCCAGAAAAGACATAGGCAAGGGAATGGCCACTTCAACGGCCCAAGCTAAAGCAAAGTAAACCTCTGCACCCCATCCAAAGATAATAAAGGAGGGGAGAAGCTGCCTCTCGTATGATTGGTTCCTAAGTGGTGGCAACTGTAGCTGCCATGCATCCACAACCCCCAGGCCAATGGGAGTTTGGCATAAACAACATACCTCCACATACAAAGGATTGGTACAAGCATTGTAGGCCTAAACATAACCATTCAGACGTGGCTATCCAGGAACGCAGTGTGAAAGCGAAGTATCCGGCTGGAAAGGCATCCAGGATCTGGAGTTAAGCTATGTTTTTAAGAACACAGGGGACATCAACCTCAACTTAGTCGGGGAATTCTATGCAGGATTTGACCCCTAGGAAACTGAGGAATTGGTACCAATCCGTGGATGCTTGATAGATTTTTCAGCTAATGCCATATGCAACTTTTTAGGTGCTCCAAATGTTCCTGTGGATCCACTGGAACAATTCATTCGTAGGCCTACTTTTAGAGAGTTGAGGCACATGCTCTGTGGGGTCGACTCTACTACTGTATGGGTTCAGGATAAGGAAACGAATCATCACAAGAGGTTCGCTAAAAAAAGATGAAGGCGAAAGCTCAGGTGTGGCTCAAGTTGATAAACGCACGACTCTTACCGTGCAATCATGACACGCTTGTAAGCCGTGTGAGGACCTGTGTGCTATATTTCCTTATGACAGGGTAGAGGGTGAATGTGGGTTACCTGATCCGCCACCAGATGGCATCAGTAAGAACGAGTAAAAAATTGATCGAATGCCATTTCCTAATTTCCTGACTCGGTTCCTACAGGATGAGAGGGTTGAGTAAAAGCCTGAATTTGACCACACTATTGATCAGCTCATCCAACAAACGGACATCACTAATCTCCGGTTGAAAGGCAAGGCTGGGACACTAACAGGTGCTAAGTGCAGTGCGCGTGATGATAGTTTCATGGCCCATCTTTATGGGGTGATGGATTTGTAGCTACGGATAGGGGGTCGCCCGGCCACACCTGACGAGAGGACTGATTTGGAGCAGCGATACCCGCTCAATGCTCATGCTCAGCAGCTGGTTGGTGTAGTAGAGGGATACAGACTTCCCGCTGATGAGGATGTCAACACACCAGAGCATTCTAAGGCTGAACAAATGCAGTTAGATGGCGAGGGAGATGGTGATAATGGAGAGAACGAACATGATAAAGAGTGGAGAGCGTTAGAGGATGACGACGCTGCATGACCAGGGAGTTTTCTTGTACCCTACTCTTTTTATTTCTTATATTGACTAATTGTAAATGCACTGAGGACAATGCATGATCTAATTGTTAGCTTGTTTTAATTTTTTTTAGTTGTTAGCTTGTTAGAATTTCTTGTTTTATTATTATTGTGTTTTCTTGTTAGTTGTTAGATTGTTTTTATTTTTAGAATTTGTCTTGTTTTGTTTTTATTATTAGTGCGCTTTTTTTTTTGTGTTAGTTCATTTTAGGCAGAAATTTAAAAAAACATAAATATGTTGGACTCTTCCTGATGATGGATCTCCTAGACAGTTTTCTTGAGGGAAGTAAGTCTAAAGAAAATACCAAAATTTTTTTTTAGGTAATGTAGTAATTTCCCCTTGGTTTTTCTTTGGGCCGCGGTTCTTTTCCAGGGTTTTTAGTTGAACCGGGTGTAGGTCATTATTTTTAGGAGTAGGAATCACGTGGCTAAACACTTAATCACAGCACTATCTCTGAGCTTTGTGATGCCTTGAGAATAGGCATTGGTTATAACGCTTAGGCTCAATTTTTGACTCTAGGATAAATATCTTAAATTGTGGATTCTTAAATTTGCTTAGCTGCTTTGACTGGAGTGTCATGAAAAGAACCAATCCTGAATGAGTTGTGTGCCATATCCGTGTGAGGTTTGCATGTATTTTGTGCATTGCATTTGATGTCTAGAACTTGCCCCGTGTGTGTGCAAAGCGAAATAGTAATCTTGTTCAGTCTGAGAAGTGATATAGGCAGTTCTTTGATCAGCCAGATATATATAATGTACCCACCTAAATGTTATGTATCGTAGTTAAGCTCTTTGAGCCTATAATCCTGTTTCCTTGGTAACCACATTACAAGTCGTTCCCCTTGTTTGAACCGACCGTATATTTGAACCTTGTCCCCTCTCATGGGCACTTTAATTGTGATGAATTTTAGAAAAGTTAAAGTGTGGGGTGGTGGGTTGGCGTTTAAGTGGAACAATTGAAATAAGGAGAAAGGTGCACCATATGNGATGTATTGGTGCTTAAAGAAGTAGGGGTGAAATATAGTGAAGTTAAGGTGGAATCTTGGTTTGCCATAAGTATGGGATTGAAGATTGAAGTGTTTGTATTAAAGTGCTTAAGGGAGGTGTAGTCACTTATATCAAAATGCATCCTACCCGATCCGCAGCCTATATTACAACCAATGAAAGTCTATTTAATCTTAGACTGAATGAACTCAATTAGTAAAGTATTACACTAAGAACAAGCTTATGTACGTCATTTCGGGCATATGAATGTTATTTTTGAGATCGAGTGAATTTTTCCTATCTCGAGTTCCTACGTTATTAAAATTCATGGTATGTGGAACTAAGCTATTTTGTTTAGGTAAGGGCATATGATTCATAAAGGAAAAGTAATGTTGTTGACCTCTATGTTAGAGTAAGTGAATTGTGAATAAAGCATAGTATTTGTGAGTCGATTATTGAGGTGTGGATGTCACTTCATTATGCTTAATCTATTTTAAAGATTCTTGGTATAATGAGTTAAGGGAATTACTTAATAGGTTGTGTCCATAAGTGTAGTTTGAGTGCTCGAGGACGAGCAAATGTTTAAGTGTGGAGTATTAATGTGTGGTTATAATTCATGGTTTTTCACATTATATTCCTTAAGTTTTATATGCTTTAATGTTAAATTACACTTTGTTTGAGCGTAATGGAGTCTATTTTATGTGTAGATGCATCAGAAATGAAAGTAGAGCTAAAGGGAGGCTTAAACGTCGAAAGTGCACTCGAGAACGGTAAAAGGGCAAAGCTAGGAAAAATCTAGCTTGACCAGGCTTTAGGCTTTTGAGGCCAGCTTAAAGCCAGGCCTAGTCAGGCGTTAGCCTGGCGACGCCAGCTTAAAGCCAGTTTGAGGCTGGCGTTAGCTAGGCGACGCCAAACCTAAGGCCAGGCCCATTCCGAGTTTTGAAGGTTTTAATTATTTCCCGGCTTGACGAGGAGTTGACTTACACGTTTAGGGCTTGTCCCAAACATATAAATAGATAAAAAATGCCACTTTAAAGGACTTTTTCAACCAGAGGCAAGAATAGCTCGTGGAACACTACTTGGGAGTTCGAATCATTGATTTCTACATCCCTCTATCTTTACTCTGTTTAATTATGCAAATTACTTTGGATATTGTTACTATGAGTATGAGTAGCTAAACTCATAATCTACGAATTTGATGGAACTTGTTGAAGGATGATTTTCTCGTTATGTTAATATATATTTTCCATAGTATTATCTCTATTTGTTCAACTATATTCTTATTGATATTGATTGAAAGGCCCTCAATTAACTATTTCTATTTAGTATGAATTACTTGGGAGAGAGTTTATATTTAGGTAGTTGTTGAACATCATCACTCCTAACTTATATGAGGGATCAATACGAAGGGTATAAAAGTGGGATTAGGGATAACGAAACCTTGGGTGTGATCTAAGTAAGTTGTACTTAAGGCTAGCTAGCGTAATTTGGGAGAATATATCTAGTATATTGTTTTAATTACTCTGGAGAGAGTTACGACAGTCAAAGTGCTCATGATCGATAGAGAAGACTTAGGTAAATATATAGCAAGCATAGCGGAAAAGATTCCGACAATAGGGGAAATCAGAACCTTAGATCATTCCAATTCTTGTCTATAACTATTTTTGATTCTATTAGGCTAGATAGTGTACTCTCAAGTGGGCAACATGAGAGGGAAAGGAACAGGACCGTCGATTGCACCGCTGACCGACTAGTCTACCACAAATAAGCCTTTTTGATTTTAAAACAGTAAATTTGGAAGAGTGCGGACACTCATCAAGCTCCACAATATTGATAATTAGAACGAGTGGAATATGATGTGGAGAATGCTTTATGTAGAGATAATAACACATTGCCAAGTATTTGCATAATAACACAGTATTAAGATAAAACATAAAATACGTAAAAAGAAAGACAAAAGAAGATGTTAGTTCGTGGAATTTAGGGTTGTAATAAAGTAAGATATGAAGTAGGGGTGGGAGAGACATGATGTATTAAT